TTTATCAGCAGAGGTCTCACTCCGAATCAGTCGAGCGGCAAAATCTTTTCATCGGTTGCGTAACGCTGTGTGGAAGCTACCTGGTCTGTCGCTCCGCACGAAGCTTCAGGTCTTCTCGGCCACAGTCATTCCCTCCCTTCTCTACGCTTCCGAAATGTGGACCCCCCTAATGGAACATCTTTGCCAGTTAGAAACATTTAGGTTGGCCTGCCTATGATCCATCCTGGGTTTAACCAGGCTGGATTGTGTGAGCTCACAAATCCTTGAAAGATCTGGACAAAGTCCCATCGGTGAGCTCCTCCGACAGGCAAGGCTGCATTGGCTGGGTCATGTAGCCCGCATGCCCAGCCACCGCATGCCTAAACAGCTTTTGTTCAGCCGGATAGAGGGGGCTAAACGGGCGCGGCACGGGCTAGAGAAGAGATGGAGTGACGTGGTACAGGAGGACGTGGAGCTGAGTGGACTTGGTGATGACCGGAACCAGCGGTGTCAAGATCGGCCTCTGTGGAGGAGGCTCGTGAAGGATGCTGCTGGGCAGATGGAGGCAGTCGCCCTCCAACAACAACGGAGGGCGGAGGAGCGACGCTCACAACAACGAGCGGAGCACCGGGTGGCTAAAGCACAGCATGGTGGTGATGGTGGTGATGGTGGTGGTAGTGATGATGGTGGTGTTGGTGGTGGTGATGGTGGTGGTGATGGTGGTGGTGATGGTGGTGATGGTGGTAGTGATGGTCGTAGTAGTGATTGTGGTGGTGATGGTGGTGGTGATGGTGGTGATGTTGGTGATGGTGATGATGGTGGTGGTGATGGTGGTGGTGATGGTGGTGGTGGTGATGGTGGTGATGGTGGTGGTGGTGATGGTGGTGATGGTGGTGATGGTGATGGTGGTGATGGTAGTGATGGTGATGGTGGTGATGGTGGTGGTGGTGATGGTGGTGGTGATGGTGGTGGTGATGGTGGTGGTGATGGTGATGGTGGTGATGGTAGTGATGGTGATGGTGGTGATGGTGTGGTGATGGTGGTGGTGATGGTGGTGATGGTGGTGGTGATGGTGGTGATGGTGGTGGTGATGGTGGTGATGGTGGTGGTGATGGTGGTGGTGATGGTGGTGGTGATGGTAGTGATGGTGATGGTGGTGGTGATGGTGGTGGTGATGGTGGTGGTGATGGTGATGGTGGTGGTGATGGTGGTGGTGGTGATGGTGATGATGGTGGTGGTGATGGTGGTGGTGATGGTGGTGGTGGTGGTGATGGGTGGTGGTGGTGATGGTGGTGGTGGTGATGGTGGTGATGGTGGTGGTGATGGTGGTGGTGATGGTGGTGATGGTGGTGGTGATGGTGATGGTGGTGGTGATGGTGGTGATGGTGGTGGTGATGGTGGTGGTGATGGTGGTGGTGATGGTGATGGTGGTGATGGTGGTGGTAGTGATGGTGGTAGTGATGGTCGTAGTAGTGATGGTGGTGGTGATGGTGGTGGTGATGGTGATGGTGGTGATGTTGGTGATGGTGATGATGGTGGTGGTGATGGTGGTGATGGTGGTGGTGGTGATGGTGGTGGTGGTGATGGTGGTGATGGTGGTGATGGTGATGGTGGTGATGGTAGTGATGGTGATGGTGGTGATGGTGGTGGTGGTGATGGTGGTGGTGATGGTGGTGGTGATGGTGATGGTGGTGATGGTAGTGATGGTGATGGTGGTGATGGTGGTGGTGATGGTGATGGTGGGTGATGGTGGTGGTGATGGTGGTGATGGTGGTGGTGATGGTGGTGGTGATGGTGGTGGTGATGGTGGTGGTGATGGTGATGGTAGTGATGGTGATGGTGGTGGTGATGGTGGTGGTGATGGTGGTGGTGATGGTGATGGTGGTGGTGATGGTGGTGGTGGTGATGGTGATGATGGTGGTGGTGATGGTGGTGGTGATGGTGGTGGTGGTGGTGGTGATGGTGGTGGTGGTGATGGTGGTGGTGGTGATGGTGGTGATGGTGATGGTGATGGTGGTGGTGATGGTGGTGGTGATGGTGGTGATGGTGGTGGTGATGGTGATGGTGGTGGTGATGGTGGTGGTGGTGATGGTGGTGATGGTGGTGGTGATGGTGGTGGTGATGGTGATGGTGGTGATGGTGGTGGTAGTGATGGTGGTAGTGATGGTCGTAGTAGTGATGGTGGTGGTGATGGTGGTGGTGATGGTGATGGTGGTGATGTTGGTGATGGTGATGATGGTGGTGGTGATGGTGGTGATGGTGGTGGTGGTGATGGTGGTGATGGTGGTGGTGGTGGTGATGGTGGTGATGGTGGTGATGGTGATGGTGGTGATGGTAGTGATGGTGATGGTGGTGATGGTGGTGATGGTGGTGGTGATGGTGGTGGTGATGGTGGTGGTGATGGTGATGGTGGTGATGGTAGTGATGGTGATGGTGGTGATGGTGGTGGTGATGGTGATGGTGGTGATGGTGGTGGTGATGGTGGTGATGGTGGTGGTGATGGTGGTGGTGATGGTGGTGGTGATGGTGGTGGTGATAGTGATGGTAGTGATGGTGATGGTGGTGGTGATGGTGATGGTGGTGATGTTGGTGATGGTGATGGTGGTGGTGATGGTGGTGATGGTGGTGGTGGTGATGGTGGTGATGGTGGTGGTGGTGATGGTGGTGATGGTGGTGATGGTGGTGGTGGTGATGGTGGTGGTGATGGTGGTGGTGATGGTGGTGATGGTGGTGATGGTGATGGTGGTGATGGTGGTGGTGATGGTGATGGTGGTGGTGATGGTGGTGGTGATGGTGGTGATGGTGTGATGGTGATGGTGGTGGTGATGGTGGTGGTGATGGTAGTGATGCTGGTGGTGATGGTGGTGATGGTGGTGGTGATGGTGATGGTGGTGGTGATGGTGATGGTGGTGATGGTGGTGATGGTGGTGGTGGTGGTGATGGTGGTGATGGTGGTGATGATGGTGATGGTGGTGGTGATGGTGGTGGTGGTGATGGTGGTGGTGATGGTGGTGATGGTGGTGGTGATGGTGGTGGTGGTGATGGTGATGATGGTGGTGGTGATGGTGGTGGTGATGGTGGTGATGGTGGTGATGGTGGTGGTGGTGATGGTGGTGGTGATGGTGGTGGTGATGGTGGTGGTGATGGTGGTGATGGTGGTGATGGTGATGGTTGTGATGGTGGTGGTGATGGTGGTGGTGATGGTGGTGGTGGTGATGGTGGTGATGGTGGTGGTGATGGTGGTGATGGTGGTGATGGTGGTGGTGATGGTGGTGGTGATGGGGATGGTAGTGATGGTGATGGTGGTGGTGATGGTGGTGATGGTGGTGATGGTGGTGATGGTGATGGTGGTGATGGTGGTGATGGTGGTGATGGTGGTGATGGTGGTGGTGATGGTGATGGTGGTGGTGATGGTGGTGGTGATGGTGGTGGTGATGGTGATGGTGGTGATGGTGGTGGTGGTGATGGTGGTGATGGGGTGATGGTGGTGGTGGTGATGGTGGTGATGGTGGTGATGGTGGTGATGGTGTGGTGATGGTGGTGATGGTGGTGATGGTGGTGATGGTGTGGTGTGATGGTGGTGGATGGTGTGGTGTGATGGTGGTTGAGGGTGGTGGTGATGGTGGTGCTGGTGAGTGGTGGTGATGGTGTTGATGGTGGTGGTGATGGTGTGGTGATGGTGGTGGGATGGTGGTTGGTATGGTGGTGGTGATGGTGGGATGGTGGTGATGGTGGTGGTGATGGTGATGGTGTGATGGTGGTGGTGATGGTGGTGGTGATGGTGGTGTGATGGTGATGGTGGTGATGGTGTGGTGATGTGGTGATGGTGGTGATGGTGGTGATGGTGGTGGTGATGGTGGTGATGGTGGGTGGTGATGGTGATGGTGGTGATGGTGATGGTGGTGATGTGGTGGTGATGGTGGTGGTGATGGTGGTGATGGCTACCGCACACGACATAGAAGCCATCACTGCAGCTTCTCATGGTCCACTCTCTTGGCACCTCCTACTGCTCCTACAAAGGAAGAGCGGCGAAGAGAGCGAGCGGAGAGCGAGGCGAGGATGAGCGAGCGAGAGAGCGAGCGATGAGAGCGAGCGAGAGCGAGCGTGAGAGCGAGCTGAGAGAGCGAGCGAGAGAGCGAGCGAGAGAGCGAGCGAGAGAGCGAGCGAGAGAGCGAGCGAGAGACGGCGAGAGGCGAGCGAGAGAGCGAGCGAGAGAGCGAGAGAGCGAGGAGAGCGAGCGAGAGAGCGAGCGAGAGAGCGAGCGAGAGAGCGAGCGAGAGAGCGAGCGAGAGAGCGAGCGAGAGAGCGAGCGAGAGAGCGAGCGAGAGGAGCGAGCGAGAGAGCGAGAGAGCGAGCGAGAGAGCGAGCGAGAGAGCGAGCGAGAGAGCGAGCGAGAGAGCGAGAGAGCGAGCGAGAGAGCGAGCGAGAGAGCGAGCGAGAGAGCGAGCGAGAGAGCGAGCGAGAGAGCGAGCGAGAGAGCGAGCGAGAGAGCGAGCGAGAGAGCGAGCGAGAGAGCGAGAGAGCGAGCGAGAGGGCGAGCGAGAGAGCGAGCGAGAGAGCGAGCGAGAGGGCGAGCGAGAGGGTGAGAGAGAGAGTGAGCGAGAGAGCGAGCGAGAGAGCGAGCGAGAGAGTGAGCGAGAGGGTGAGAGAGAGAGTGAGCGAGAGAGCGAGAGAATGAGCGAGAGAGAGGGGCGAGCGAGAGAGCGAGCGAGAGAGCGAGCGAGAGAGCGAGCGAGAGAGCGAGCGAGAGAGCGAGCGAGAGAATGAGCGAGAGAGCGAGCGAGAGAGCGAGCGAGAGAGAGAGAATGAGCGAGAGAGTGAGCGAGAGAGCGAGCGAGAGAATGAGCGAGAGAGCGAGCGAGAGAGCGAGCGAGAGAGTGAGCGAGAGAGCGAGCGAGAGAGAGAGAATGAGCGAGAGAGCGAGAGAGCGAGAGAGCGAGAGAGCGAGAGAGCGAGCAAGTGAGCGAGAGAGCGAGCAAGTGAGCGAGAGAGCGAGCGAGAGAGTGAGAGAGCGAGAGAGAGTGAGTGAGCGAGCGAGAGGTGGGGGTTTACATAAAGCAAAAAAAATTTATGAAGTGACGAACGAAGCAAAGTGCCGACTACACCGAGCATCTTCTTGTCCCCACTGATCGCAAAACAAATAAGAGGACGACCTCCGTGTAGCCGGCGAGGCAGCCAACATCACCGCCGCTTACCGGGACGCTTGCCGGGACGCTTGCCGAAGCTCCAAATGCCCCACGCGGCGCACGCCAGGAACGGCGCCAGAGACAGCGCCAGAACCTTCACCGTCACCGCCACCAGCACCGCCACCATCACCGCCACCATCGCCGTCGCGTGGACGGAGGAAGAGGAGCTCCCGCCGCTGACGGGGAGCGTCACAGGCGAGGGTGGGGAGGCGCGGGAGGTGGGTGGGGTGGTAGTGGTGGTTGGGGTGGTGGTAGTAGAGGGGGTGGGTGGGGTGGTGGTGGTGGGTGGGTTGGTGGTGGTTGGGGTGATGATGGTGGTGGTTGGGGTGGTGGTAGTAGAGGGGGTGGTGGGGGTGGTGGTGGTGGGTGGGGTGGTGGTGGTGTTGGCTACGAGAGCGGGAAGATACGGGGAGACAGAGACAGACAGAGAGACACAGAGAGACAGTCTATGTCTGTGTGTGTGTCTGTGTGTGTGTGTGTCTGTGTGTGTGTGTGTGTGTCTGTGTGCGTGTCTGTGTGTCTGTGTGTGTCTGTGTGTGTCTGCGTGTGTGTGTGTGTCTGCGTGTGTGTCTGTGTGTGTCTGTGTGTGTGTGTGTGTCTGTGTGCGTGTCTGTCTGTGTGCGTGTGTCTGTGTGTGTGTCTGTGTGTGTGTGTGTCTGTGTGTGTGTGTGTCTGTGTGCGTGTCTGTGTGCGTGTGTGTCTGTGTGCGTGTGTGTCTGTGTGCGTGTGTGTCTGTGTGCGTGTGTGTCTGTGTGCGTGTGTGTCTGTGTGTGTGTCTGTGTACGTGTCTGTGTGCGTGTCTGTGTGCGTGTCTCTGTGTGTGTCTCTGTGTGTGTCTCTGTGTGTATGTCTGTGTGTGTGTCTGTGTGTGTGTCTCTGTGTGTGTATGTCTGTGTGTGTATGTCTGTGTGTGTCTCTGTGTGTGTCTCTGTGTGTGTCTCTGTGTGTGTGTCTCTGTGTGTGTATGTCTGTGTAAGTGTCTGTGTGAGTGTCTGTGTGTGTCTGTGTGTGTGTCACTGTGTGTGTGTCTGTGTGTGTCTCTGTGTGTGTGTCTCTGTGTGTGTGTCTGTGTGTGTCTGTGTGTGTGTATATGTGTGTCTCTGTGTATCTGTGTGTGTCTCTCTGTGTGTCTGTTTGTGTGTGTCTGTGTGTCTCTGTGTGTGTCTGTGTGTGTCTGAGGTGGAGAGAGAGAGAGGTGGTGAGTTGAGCGTCGCTCACAGCTAACGGTGAGCAGGGCGTACGCCGTGGGGGTCTCCAGGCTGAAGAGGGAGCAGCTGTAGAGCCCCTGGTCCCCCGTGGAGACGCGGGAGATGGTGACGTCCAGCCGGGTAGAGCTCCAGTGCAGCAGAGAGACACGCGGGTCTGTGTGGGCTGAGACACGGAGACACAGAGAGACACAGAGAGACACGGAGACACAGAGAGACAGAGAGACACGCGGGTCTGTGTGGGCTGAGACACGGAGACACAGAGAGACACTGAGACAGAGAGAGACAGAGAGACAGAGAGAGACAGAGAGACAGAGAGACAGAGAGAGACACTGAGACAGAGAGAGACACAGACAGAGAGACAGAGAGAGACACTGAGACAGAGAGAGACAGAGACAGAGAGACAGAGAGACACGCGGGTCTGTGTGGGCTGAGACACGGAGACACGGAGACAGAGAGAGACACAGAGACAGAGAGAGACAGAGACAGAGAGACGCGCGGGTCTGTGTGGGCTGAGACACGGAGAGAGAGAGACAGAGAGACAGAGAGAGACAGAGAGACAGAGAGACACAGAGAGAGACAGAGAGACAGAAAGAGAGAGAGACAGAGAGACACAGAGACAGACAGAGAGAGACAGACAGGCGCTCACCCTTGACGCTCTGGAAGTAGAGTGTCTGCCCGTGAGGGTTGCTCCACTGGATTGCGTCAGAGTCCGGATTGTCCGACACTACGCAGCGTAGAGTGGCCGTGTCTCCCTCGCACACCGCATCTCCCGTGGCCCACACGGAGATCGCAGCAGCTGCACAGGAGAGACACGGGGAGAGACAGAGACACGGGGAGAGAGACACTCACCCACTCACCCACCCACTCACTCACCCACTCACTCAACCACTCACCCACTTACCCACTCACTCAACCACTCACTCAACCACTCACCCACTCACTCACCCACTCACTCAACCACTCACACACCCACTCCCTCACCCACTCACTCACCCACTCACTTAACCCATTCACACACCCACTCACTCACTCACCCACTCAGCCACCCACCTACTCACTCACTCACCCACTCACTCACTCACTCACCCACTTAACCCACTCACTCACCCACTCACTCACTCACCCACCCACTCAGCCACTCACACACTCACTCACCCACTCACCCACTCACTCACTCACCCACTCACTTAACCCATTCACACACTCACTCACCCACTCACTCACTCACCCACCCACCCACTCACACACTCACTCACTCACTCACCTACCCAATCACCCACCACTCACTCAACCACTCACTCACGCACTCACCGACCCACTCACTCACCCACCAACTCACTCAACCACTCACACATCCACTCACTCACCCACCCACTCAACCACTCACCCACTCACTCAATCAACCACTCACCCACCCAATCAACCACTCACCCACTCACTCACACACCCACTCACCTACGGCGCTATGTGGTGGAGGGACGGAGACACAGGACAGTGGAGACCACTCCCCTGTCTTCCACCGGGGGTAGTCAGCCACGATTCTCACGCGGACGCAGTATTCAACCTCGCCTCCAGACGGGGGCACGGCGTGGTGGTAGCGACATCCCACAAAGTGATCCTGGCAGCATTAGTAGTAACATCATTATAGTAGTAGCAGCATTAGTAGTAGTAGCAGCATCATCACCCACCCACCCACTCACCCACCCACCCACCCACTCACCCACCCACCCACCCACCCACCCACTCAACTCACCCACCCACCCACCCACTCAACTCACCCACCCACGCACCCACTCACCCACCCACCCACCCACTCACCCACCCACCCACCCACTCACCCACCCACTCACCTACCCACCCACCCACCCACTCACCCACTCACGCACCCACTCACCCACCCACTCACCCACCCACCCACCCACCCACTCACCCACCCACCCACCCACCCACTCACCCACCCACCCACCCACCCACCCACCCACTCACCCACCCACCCACCCACTCAACTCACCCACCCACGCACCCACTCACCCACCCACTCACCCACCCACGCACCCACTCACCCACCCACTCACCCACCCACTCACCTACCCACCCACCCACCCACTCACCTACCCACTCACCCACCCACTCACCCACCCACCCACTCACCCACCCACCCACCCACTCACTCAACCACTCACCCACCCACTCACTCACCCACTCACCCACCCACTCACCCACCCACTCACCCACCCACTCACCCACTCACCCACCCACTCACCCACTCACCCACCCACTCACCCACCCACCCACCCACTCACCCACCCACCCACCCACTCACCCACCCACCCACCCACCCTCATCGTGCTGGTAGTGCCACCCCCCCTCGTGGAGATCTCTGCTTCCTGGTGGTGCACCACGTCGCCAAGCGCCATTCTCCTCCTCCACGCACTCCTCATGGAGATCCCCACGGAGAGCTCCCACCACTCCGCCTCCTCCTCCTCATCATCATCATCATCGTCGTCGTCATCATCGTCATCATCGTCATCATCGTCGTCATCGTCGTGGTCATCGTCGTCATCGCTGTGGTGGTTGTTGACACGGTCAACATCATCATCATCGTCACCGTCATCATCGTCGTCGTCACCGTCATCATCGTCACCGTCATCATCAGCGACGTCACCGTCATCATCATCATCGTCATCGCTGTGGTGGTTGTTGACACGGTCCACACCATCAGCGACGTCACCGTCATCATCATCGTCGTCGTCGTCATCGTCGTAGTCATCTTTGTGGTCGTCATCGTCTTCGTAGCCCTCATCCTCATGACGGCACTCCTCCTCCTCATCATCATCATCATCGTCATCACCCTCCTCCTCCGTCGATTTCTTGTGCAGCATCAAGGTGACAGTGGGAGCACTCAGCACGGCTGAGACACGGGGGGGGGGGGGGGGGGTGGTGGGCAGGGGTGAGGAGATGACGTCATCTCACTCACCCCCCTAGCCTGAACAGACTGTTGGTGCAAGAGGAGCACACAGAGACACTCACACACAGAGACACACACACACAGAGACACACACAGAGACACTCACACACAGAGAGACACACACAGAGACACTCACACACACAGAGACACTCACACACAGAGACACACACACACACAGAGACACTCACACACACAGAGACACTCACACACACAGAGACACTCACACACACAGAGACACTCACACAGAGACACTCACACACAGACACACACAGAGACACACAGAGACACAGACACACACACAGACACACACAGAGACACTCACACACACTCACACACACACAGAGACACTCACACACAGAGACACACACACACAGACACACACAGAGACACTCACACACAGAGACACTCACACACACAGAGACACTCACAGAGACACACACAGAGACACACACAGAGACACTCACAGAGACACACACAGAGACACTCACACACAGAGACACTCACAGAGACACACAGAGACACTCACAGAGACACTCACAGAGACACTCACACACACAGAGACACACACACCCAGAAACACTCACACACAGACACACACACACACAGAGACACACAGAGACACACACACAGACACACACACAGACACACACAGAGACACTCACACACACTCACACACACACACAGAGACACTCACACACAGAGACACACACACACACAGAGACACACACAGAGACACTCACACACAGAGACACAGACAATGCCACTCACTTGTCTTCAAGGGTAAGACCTCAACCACGACCCAGGGTGAGGATGATGGTGGTGATGGTGGTGATGGTGGTGATGGTGGTGTTGGTGGTGGTGATGAGACGGTGGATCTGACGCGAAGTTGATAGCGGTCGCCGGGATGTCGCAGCGCTGAGGAGACATCGCACCGTGTCTCTGCGGTGGCAGCGCAGACGGTCCGCCAGCGGGCTCGTCCATAGCTGCACAGACAGAGACACGGGGAGGAGGAGGTGAGGAGTGGGTGTGTGAGTGGGTGTGTGAGTGGGTGGGTGAGTGGGTGGGCAAGCGGGTGAGTGGGTGAATGAGAGAGTGGGTGAGTGAGTGGGTGAGTGAGTGGGTGAGAGAGTGGGTGAGAGAGTGGGTGAGTGAGTGAGTGGGTGAGTGAGTGGGTGAGAGAGTGGGTGAGTGAGTGGGTGAGTGAATGAGAGAGAGAGTGAGAGAGTGGGTGAGTGAGTGGGTGAGTGAGTGGGCAAGTGAGAGAGTGGGTGAGTGAGTGGGTGAGTGAGTGGGTGGGTGAGTCAGTGGGTGAGTGAGTGGGTGGGTGGGTGGGTGAGTGGGTGGGTGAGTGAGTGGGTGAGTGAGTGAGTGGGTGAGTGAGTGGGTGGGTGAGTGGGTGGGTGAGTGGATGGGTGGGTGAGTGGATGGGTGAGTGAGTGGATGGGTGAGTGAGTGGGTGAGTGAGAGAGTGGGTGGGTGAGAGAGTAGGTGGGTGAGTGGGTGGGTGGGTGAGTGGATGGGTGAGTGAGTGGATGGGTGAGTGAGTGGGTGAGTGAGTGGGTGGATGGGTGAGTGAGTGGGTGAGTGAGAGAGTGGGTGGGTGAGTGGGTGGGTGAGTGGGTGAGAGGGTGAGAGAGTGGGTGGGTGAGAGAGTGGGTGGGTGAGAGAGTGGGTGGGTGAGAGAGTGGGTGGGTGAGTGAGTGGGTGGGTGAGTGGGTGGGTGAGTGAGTGGGTGAGTGAGAGAGTGGGTGGGTGAGAGAGTAGGTGGGTGAGTGGGTGGGTGGGTGAGTGAGTGGGCAAGTGAGAGAGTGGGTGAGTGAGTGGGTGAGTGAGTGGGTGGGTGAGTCAGTGGTTGAGTGTGTGAGTGGGTGAGTGAGTGGGTGGGTGAGTGGGTGGGTGAGTGGATGGGTGGGTGAGTGGATGGGTGAGTGAGTGGATGGGTGAGTGAGTGGGTGAGTGAGAGAGTGGGTGGGTGAGTGGGTGGGTGAGTGGGTGATGAGAGAGTGGGTGGGTGAGAGAGTGGGTGGGTGAGAGAGTGGGTGGGTGAGAGAGTGGGTGGGTGAGTAAGTGGGTGGGTGAGTGGGTGGGTGAGTGAGTGGGTGAGTGAGAGAGTGGGTGGGTGAGTAAGTGGGTGGGTGAGTGGGTGGGTGAGTGAGTGGGTGAGTGAGAGAGTGGGTGGGTGAGTAAGTGGGTGGGTGAGTGGGTGGGTGAGTGAGTGGGTGAGTGAGAGAGTGGGTGGGTGAGTAAGTGGGTGGGTGAGTGGGTGGGTGAGTGAGTGGGTGAGTGAGAGAGTGGTTGAGCGAGTGGATGGGCGAGTAAGTGGGTGAGCGAGTGAGCAAGCATCTCACAGTTTGCTGTCCACCCTGTAGGCAACGTCCAGGAGCTGTGAGCTGCTGCTGGTGGCGACGTCCACTTGAGCGTCGTGGTCCCAGCGGAGTTGTGTCAGCAGGTCGCGAGACTCCACGCGGACATTCAGAGGGGGAGTCGCAGCTGGGGAGATGGGCAGTGTGCGCTAACCACTGCACCACCGCTCCCCACACACACACAGTGCGCTAACCACTGCACCACCGCTCCCCACACACACACACAGTGCGCTAACCACTGCACCACCGCTCCCCACACACACACAGTGCGCTAACCACTGCACCACCGCTCCCCCCCCACACACACACACAGTGCGCTAACCACTGCACAACCGCTCCCCACACACACACACACAGTGCGCTAACCACTGCACCACCGCTCCACACACACACAGTGCGCTAACCACTGCACCACCACTCCCCACACACACACACACACAGTGCGCTAACCACTGCACCACCGCTCCCTACACACACACAGTGCGCTAACCACTGCACCACCACTCCCCACACACACACACAGTGCGCTAACCACTGTACCACCGCTCCACACACACACACAGTGCGCTAACCACTGCACCACCACTCCCCACACACACACACACAGTGCGCTAACCACTGCACCACCACTCCCCACACACACACACAGTGCGCTAACCACTGTACCACCGCTCCACACACACACACACAGTGCGCTGATCACTGCACCACCGCTCCCCACACACACACACAGTGCGCTAACCACTGCACCACCGCTCCCCACACACACACACACAGTGCGCTAACCACTGCACCACCGCTCCCCACACACACACAGTGCGCTAACCACTTCACCACCGCTCCCCACGTCCACCACACCCTGGTACCCGATGTATCGACCACCTCTGGCTGGGCTCACCGTGTCTGCACGTTACGAGGAGGAGGACGGAGAGGAAGAGTAGGCCAAGTCTCGAGAAGAGTTCCCGCACCGCCATGACACCCACCTGGGACCCACGTGTTTCAGTTTCTCAAGTCACGTGGTGCAGAGAAATTCGATTCCCGGTTCGATTAACTCCACATGCGTCGATTCTTAATGGGATAACATTAGGATTCGATTCTTGTAGTGGATTTATAGTCGATTTCTATTGGGATAACATGGGAATCGATGTATAGTTGATTAAGCTATTGGAATCGATTTCCGTTGAGATAACATGGGAATAGACTATCGTGGGTGTGTGTTTATGTGTGTGTGTCTAAAGTCGATGTCTGTGTGTGTACGTTTATATTTGTGTGTAAGTCGATGTCTGTGTGTAGTTGTGTGTAAGTTGATGTCTGTGTGTACTTGTGTGTGTGTGAGTCCATGTGTGTGTATCTAAAGTCGATGTCTGTGTGTGTGTACTTGTGTGTGTGTGAGTCCATGTGTGTGTATCTAAAGTCGATGTCTGTGTGTGTGAGTCCATATGTGTGTGTGTAAGTCTGTGTGTCTACGTGCAAGTGTGTGCATAAGTCGATGTGTGTGAGTCGATGTGTCTGTAAGTCCATGTGTGTTTGAGTCGATGTGTCTGTGTGAGTCGCTATGTGTGTGTGTGTAAGTCGATGTGTGTATGTGTACGTTGATGTGTGTAAGTCCATGCGTGTGTGTGAGTCGCTGTGTGTGTGAGTCGCTGTGTGTGTGAGTCTATGTGTCAGTCGATGTGTGTGTGTAAGTCCATGTGTGTGTGTAAGTCGATGTGTGTGTCAGTGGATGTGTGTGTGTAAGTCGATGCGTGTGTGTGTAAGTCGATGTGTGTGTAAGTCCATATGTGTGTGAGTCGATGTGTGTGTTTGAGTCCATATATATGTGTGTGTGTGTAAGTCGATGTGTTTGTGTGTGTGGGTCGATGTCTGTGTGTCTTTTTCGCCCGGGCAATGCCGGGTACCTCCCGCTGGTACCTAATAAATTCAACTTGAGTGCAGAAGGAGTTTGCGACGTGCGGTGCGAGTGTGTGAGGATGGGTGGGGCATCCTCCACTTGTGGGTGGTGAACTACTTTTGCACCATTCGCAGCCAACCCTTCTAATCAGAGTAGTGTATAGTGTAGTGTATAGTGTAGTGTATAGTGTAGTGTATAAGTGTAGCGCATCGTGCCCTATGTATTTGTTTCACTTCTTTCTCACCACATGTAGCTAGAACTGATCCTCGTAGTAGTGTATCGTGGTGTATAGTGGAAGACTGTGTAGTGTAGAGTGTATTTTAGTGTAGTATGTACATTTATTTCGCACCGTACGTAGCCCACCGTGCTAATTGGAGGTGCACTGTGATGTATACGCACTCGTATGTTGAGGAGCCCCGGGAACATGTCTCATTCACTGTAACATTACTTACAAAATATGTTCAGCAGATTAGCACGAACCCGGCTTCATTGTGGCAGGAGGTGCACAGCTGCCAATCCCACCTCTACGAAGGAATGTTCGCGTTTGCAGTCGTGTCTTTGCACGGTGCACTGCAAAATGGTGGGTGGTTTGGTTTTCACCGCGAACCTCCTTCCAAAACAACGCCACATTGACAACCATGCACACGGAGACACTTACGCTCGCAGACGTGAAGTTGACTTGAAAACATTTATTGACCACGCGACTCAAACGTCCATTCGACCGTTCAAGCGTAGCGACAGGTAAGCGATGTCAGTGCACATTCATCGCGAACAAATACCTCGAGGCATTTCGTGACGACTTGCAAGGCGGAGCATCGGACGTCTCTGTCGATGCCGTTGTGTTTGTCGCGCTTGAGGTGCATCTTCACCTCGAAGTCAACGTCGCTGCTCAGATCGTCGCGCATCTCCACGTATGTGGAGATGCTCGTGGACGGCTTCCGCTATTTCTTCTCTCCTCCACCTGCTGCTGCTGCTGCAAGCGGCTTGAGAGACGCAGGCGGCTCGCGCGCTCCTCACCGCCCGTCTCGCGGCGGTAAAAGTAGTTGAAGTTGGAGACGATGACGGGCACGGGGAGGGCGATGGTGAGCATGCCGGCGATGGCGCACAGCGAGCCCACCGCCTTGCCCCACGCCGTCACGGGACACATGTCGCCGTAACCCACCGTCGTCATGGTTACGATGGCCCACCAGAAGGTGTCGGGGATGCTTCGGAACTCAGAGTTTAGTTGGTCGGCCTCGGCAAAGTAGACGGCGCTGGAGAAGAGGACGACGCCGATGACGAGGAAAAATATGAGCAGGCCCAGCTCGCTCGCGCTCGCCTTCAAAGTCTGGCCCAGGATCTTCAAGCCCCTGGAGTGCCTGGACAGCTTGAGTATCCGGAACACTCGCACCAGCCGGGTCATCCGCAAAATCGCCAGTGACGTGGCCTGCTGGTCACGCCCTTGGGGCTTGGCCATCTCGATGCCGAGGGTGATGAAGTAGGGCAGAATGGCCACGATGTCAATGATGTTCATGATGCTTTTGAAAAATCCCAGTTTGTTGGGGCACGCAAAAAACCTCACCAGCAGTTCAAAGGAAAACCAAACGATGCAAATGGTTTCCACGATAAAAAATGGATCAGTGACAGAGCCGTGATGCGTGCCGTCGACCTGTGTGCCGTTGATGTCCTTTGCCGGGAGAAATTTTTGCTTATTCTCGTCCCTGAGTTCAGGCAGAGTCTCGAGGCAGAACATGACGATGGAGATAAGGATGACCAGCACGGACACGGTGGCAATTCCCCTGGCCGCGATGGAGCTCTCGGGGTATTCGAACAGCAGCCACACCCGCCGCTGGAACTCGTCCGATGGCAGTGGCTCCTGCTCCTCCACCTCCTCCTCTCCGATGAAGCCCTCGTCTTCCCAGAACTTGACCACGGCCTCGTTGCCGAGCTCGTAGAACTCGATCTCCTCGCCGAACACTTCGAGGGAGACGTTGACCGGGCGTCTCAGCCGCCCGCCGGACTGGTAGTAGTGGAGGATGGCGTCGAAACTCGGCCGGTTCCTGTCGAAGAAGTACTCGTTGCGCAGGGGGTCGTGGTGGCGCCACCTCTTGCCGGGGTCGCCCAGGAGGGTGTCCGGGAACCGGCCGAGTGTCTTGAGCTGCGTCTCGAATCGCAGCCCCGACACGTTGACGACGACCCTCTCGCAGGACTCGTGCGTCAGCGGCTCTGTGCCGCCGTCAAGCAGCGCCGCCTCGTACATGGCGGTTGGAGAACTGCGCGGGGGTCAGAGGTCACAAACGGGTTTTGATTCCTTACCCGTACCCGGCCGCACCCGTACCCTACCCGTACCCGGCCGCATCCGTACCCTACCCGTACCCGCCCTGGTACGGGTAGGGTACGGGTATCTGGTACCCGATTGCGACCTCTGGGATGAAGCCATGTTGCAGGCGCGGGTGGGTTGATTCTAGGAACTTGAATTGTGAGAAGAGACAAGACGTTGGGAAATGAGTGACAAACGGTGACTCACCAGTGACTCACGGCCTACCCGTACCCGGCCACACCAGAGTCGCAAACGGATACCCGGCTACCCGTACCCGGCCGGGTATGGGTAGTCGGGTATCGGGTAGGGTACGGGTATCGGGTACCCGGTTGCGACCTCTGGCGGGGGTCAGGCTGGCACGTGGCAGATTTCGACAACAAAAATGTCAGCAGATACAAAGCCGCGTGAAATAAAAAAAATACGAAGAAAATCAGTGGCGGCGCAGAAATGAAATTGTATGTTGGTGGTACAGCAATGGATTCTTGATTCTATCTGTGCAGAGCTTTGAGTATCACGCTCAAGCACGCATCGGGCTCGCGAAGGAAAACACACGGCCTGGCGGTAGCGCGTTTACCAATTGTCGCAGAGGATCACAGTTCGAAGGCAGCAACCGCCCTGGTTAATACTGCGGTGCCTACTAACCGTACCGATACTCCGATTCGCACGGTTGGCTACGTACGGTGACAACGTTCAACACACGTCCATACAAGACCGTCACTATTTGCCGTCTGCTTCACAGCGGACGTTAGGAGTCCAGTGACTTCATTCGCAAGAGTCAAACTACCGCAACTGAAGGCGATGTTTTATTTCAGCAGGTAAGGCCCATTGAGCTGGCTCAAGGAAGCGGCTTCTCACTTGTAAATGTCCAGCAGGCAAATACCGGCTACGAACGTCGATTACAAAAAGTTGGGGGAGGAACAGGAGGACCCGGAGGGAGAAAAATCCACGCAACCAGGTGAAGATAAACACGCAAAGTCAAGATGTGAAGCTTCCGTGGCTGCAAGGATTCATACTCTTTGTTTTTTTCGGTAAAGTCACGTGGGCAAAAAATAAATAATAAAAATAACGGAAATAAATCTATAAATAGGAAATATATAATTATACTTTTATTTCTATTTTTATTTCTATAATTTTAAATTATTAAAAATAATAATTATTGTTATTTTACTCTATGGGGACCTCATTTGCCAGTAAAAATATGATAATTGGTTCTTGAACCAATTATCATATTTTTACTGGCAAATGAGGTCCCCATAGTGTAGATGCTTGCCCCGAGCTCTCATACTCTGATGGTGCATTGTCCTTGAGTTGTGCGCCTTTTGGCGTCATCTGGTCCAACCCATATGAGACTAGGCTCGAAGGAAAGCTGTCTCGGGTGTGGACCAATCAACTTCAAGGACAGTGCACATTATCAGAGTTATGTTCTTTTGTTTGTATTATGACTGCAGGTATTGCGGTCTATGCAAACATGACTCCCTGCAAAAAGGTGTCAGTTTTGTTGCCAGATAGAAGGGTAAAGAACCAATTATCATATTGTTATTTTATTTCTATTATTACTCAGTTGAGGCCTTGCTGGGTAAACAGGCATCGTAGGCTCAGCGTAGCATCATCCTTCTAATTAAGAGGATTATTGCTCAGTGAGGCTTCACTGTACAATAGTATCAAGTGGCTCCCTCTACAGCAGTAGTGTCTACCGAGTAGTATCTACTAACTCTATGGTAGTAGCTACACAACAACAACATCGTGGTGGTGGTGGTGGTGCTGGTGCTGAGGGC